CCAACTAGGCCAGTAGGCCGTGGGGGGGGGGGTTCCCTCTTCTTCTTCTTTTTTTTGTCTATTTGATTGTTTGCTTTCTGTTTTCTTTTGTTTTGTTTATTTTCTTTTCTGTTTTTATTTATTTATAAACACTTAGGCATTTTATAAAATTGTGAACCTTACACCATAATTATCTTTGTAATATTTGGCAACCACCGAACATTTTTGTTTTAATTTTTGAAAACTTTCATTGTTTTCTTTTATTTAAATTTTGAACTTGTTTCGGTTCTGAACTATCGAGAGTTTACCATAGTAACCGTGGTGACGTGGCATCATTAGCGGGGAATCACTGTAGCTTAATTATCCGGGCGTTACAGTAGCCAAACAGGACCTCTGGATTTGGCACTCCTTCTTTGGTATGCCAGGAACTCACAATGACATCAACGTGCTGCAGTGCTCTCCTGTTTTTGCCAAGCTCGTTGAGGGCCATTCTCCTCCGGTGAACTTCGAGATCAATGGGCACCAATACAACAAGGGGTACTATCTAGCTGACGGCATCTATCCGAGATGGTCGACATTTGTGAAGACGATCTCAAACCCTGTGCCAGGAGGCAAGAACGCCTGGTTTGCGAAAGTTCAGGAGGCTTGCCGGAAGGATGTCGAGCGGGCATTTGGTGTGCTCCAATCTCGATTCGCTGTTGTTCGGTACCCCGCTCAGACCTGGTCGAAAGATCAAATATGGGAGATCATGACTTGCTGTGTCATTTTGCACAACATGATCATCGAGAGCGAGCAAGAAGACCCAGTGATTGACACTGAACCATACTACAGGCAGGGTCCTCTAGCCGAAATTGATCACCAGCTACCGACAACTTGGACTGCCTATCTCAGTATGCGTCAGGAGATCCGAGACCCACAGGTGCATCATCAACTGCAGAAAGATCTGATTGAGCACCTATGGAGGCTCAAGGGGGACGCCTCGTGATGAAATACGAGTTTTTATTTGTTGAACAATATAATTTGTATTGAATTATTTGTTGTTCTAGTATTTTGTTGAAGTATTTGATTTTTCTGTGATGAAATATGTGATAAGAAATAATTGTGTTGATAATTGAACGCCGAGACACGGCGAAACCACGCCGAATATAGGCCTATTCTCGTCCATATGGGCCGTTTATTCGCCGAAATTGAGGTGCAAAGTGGGCCAATTTCGGCGCCTGGGGGCGAGCTGGGGACGACGACTGGGCGCAAACCCGCCCCCAGCGCCGAGTGCATCGTCGCCTCGCCCCCAGAGAGCGATTTTTATGCGTCCTGGGGGGCAACCGCTGGAAATGCCCTTACAAGACACACAATTGATTTAACAACTTGGTACGTACTAGTACATAATAGCCACAAGTTGCATATCGGTTTTCTTCCGGCCACGAATTTGTGAGGTGTACACGCACGCACCCGTGTCCCTTCCCACGCAGCCAGGTCAAACACACATGCACACCGTACCTTTGGTGATCCATGAATCGTGCCTCATGCATGAATGCTCCTCCTCCTCCCACTTGAAAAAAGTGCATGAATGTTGCCGATACATGTATGTGAAACCTTTGCTTTGTCGATCTTGATCGATCGTGACACGATCCATTTGAAAACATACACATGCTTGCATATACATAGCATATATCCTACCGGCCGGCCACATGCACAAAGTTTGACAACAGAAATACACGCCGAGAAATGAGAAAATGAGACTAGTTTCCCTCGGAAAAAAACAAGTAGACGTACGAGACGATCCGTGTATGTACGGACTGCGTATGGTGACAGCGAACCAATTGCACTTGGTATCTGTCCTACTCGGGACGACCATCTACATATATAATACTCCCTCTGTTCGAAAATCTTATCATGAAAATAAAAAAAAAGATATATCTAAACATATTTTGATTCTAAATACATTATTTTCTATCCATTTTGACGACAAACTTTTTGGGACGCAGGGAGTACTCCCACTTGCACATACATACGTATACACATGTGTACCGGCCGGCCACAACACGTGATAATAAAGTTTGACAAACACTGCTCGTCACGCGAATCAACCTGTGGTTGAGTTGGTTAGATGGACAGTGGTATCCCTAACTCATCAGGGTTCAAATCCTACATGAATCGTGCCTCGTCCGCAAATGATGATGCATTATTTTGTTGATCTCGATCGCGACGAGGTCCACTGCTTGAGACGTTTTCCCGGCTAGCTAGAAACAAATAAGATTAAAGAAAAAGTAGGCGACCGGTGTACGGATATCGCCGTAACCGCTAATATTGTCGCACCCACGTACTGCCCACATAAACAAATACGGAGGCGTTGCACGGACGGCGATCTGGCGTGGCAATCGCGCGGCAGCCGAAATTGACCGTTTGGATTTGGATATTCGTTTTTTTAGGATAATACTCGCTTTTAATCGAAAGGAGTACCATACATACTACCTTTCTTTCAGTTTATAGAGCATGCCCGTGCCTTTAGGTCGTCAATTTGACCAACCTAATACAAGTCATACATTATAAAAATATACCAATATAAACTTTAGATGTTCTATTTTTAAACCGTATAATTTTTGTGTTATATAGTTTATATTAAGGTGATAAAATTAGCAACCTAAGTATACGCGTAGGACTTGTAAACTAAAACGGAGATAGTATTATGACGATAAGTTTGTTTTTTTTTCATTGATGGTGATAAGCTTGATTGGCTGGCCCGTGTCCATCTGGACTCGACACAGCCAGGTCAATTGGTGCTATCATACATGCAGACAACATTCAGGCAACCAGATAGCATGCATAACATGGTTTTCAGCTAGGCCCAACCGAGCCACTGATGCAATGCAAGAACAATGTAGACAACCGAACACGCCCTCCAAAATGAGGCGTTTTCGAGCTATCCAGAAAGAATTTTTTTTTGTCATACATACTCATACGCATGTACCGACCACATAACAAGTCGACGAAAGACACCAACCAATGTACGGACGCGATGTACGGACGCCTGGTGACGTGGCAATAATGCCGCGGCATTTGAATTTGAACATTCTCTTTTATCCGCCGAACCACTCTCTATGCCGTACCATCATTAAATACTCCCATGCCTAGAGAGTGGTTCTCAAAACTTAGCGTCATGTTTTTTTAGTACTACTCCCTTCGTTTCTAAATATTTGTTTTTTTAGAGGTTTTAAATAATGACTACATACGGAACGAAATGAGTGAGTCTATACTCTAAAATATGTTTATATACATCCGTATGTGATGACCATTTAAAATCTCTAAAAAAAAGACAAATATTTAGAAACGAAGGAAGTAGTATACAAGAAAACATACCGGCATTCTCAACAAATAATAATAATACGGGCACATGAGCGATGAGGCACATCGTACATTTTGGCATTGTTTAAGCACTCGTAGATAATACCATGGCGGTAAGTTTTGCGTTGGTTTGATCTTTTGCCCCGCGGATAAGCTCGGCTGGCCAGGTGCCCGCGCCCGTGCGTGCCCCTCTAGACTCCACGCAGCCAGACCAAGCCGAAAAAAAAATACTCCCTTCATTCCAAAATATAAAATGCCTGTATTTTCCAAGATCGAACTTTGACCATAAATTTAACGAACGAGACCGATTGCGACGGGAGAAAAAGTTACATAATTAAAAACTTCTTTCGAATACGAATTCACTGATATAACTTTTACTCCCGCCGCAATCGATTTTGATAGTTAAATTTACGATCAAAATTGAAGCACGAGAATAAAGGAAGCACTACATTATGAAATAGAAAGAGTAGAACGCACGAGGCCACGTCACGCGGGCCCCGCTTGCCCTCGTGTCGACGCGGGCGAGCAGAGGCGGCCGGCGAGGCGAGGGCAACCCCAACCACAACCACCACCCCGCCCGCGCCGCCCCTCCCTTTCCCTCGCCTTTTCGGCCCCATCAATGGCTCCCTCCACCACCTCCTTCTAGAAGCCGTATGCCCCACCACCTGTGCTAGCGGTAGTGTATCGGGCTCCCCTTCCTTCCTCCCCCCTCCCTCTCCCTGCCCGCACTGTCCCATCGCCCGCCAGCCCGCTCGCTTTCTGCCTTTCCCCCGCTCGCTGGGTGGCGGTGGTGGGGGAGGAAGTTGGAGGAGGGGGGCCGGCCGGCCGGCCAGCCA